CCCCCCCCCCCCCCCCAACACACACACATACACCAAAAAAAAAGGGGTGAAGAAAGCAAATGAGCTTTTGCTGACTACTCCTTCGTTTGGGAAAATCATCAGTATACTTTGATGACAAAATAATTATCTTCGCAAAGTGACTTATTTTGCAAATTGTAATTCCTACTTTTGAGTGATACTGCTGACAATTTCTTCGGTTTTTCCTTCTGAGATGACCTTTTTATTGCCAGACTCCTTACCTGTCACTAGAAATATCACAAGCTACAAGCCTCAGTATTCCCTCTTTTAACAAGTTGGCCAAGAGCTCAACAGGAGCATTCATGATTTCATGGACTCAACTTGTCTAACATATACTCTTTCATACAATTGCAGCTGAAAACAGCAATTAGTCGTGCTACATCTAGGAATGACATGGCAACCGTCAGAGATGCCCTGGAAGTTTCTGCAGAAATGTACAAGAAGGACATGAACAATGTCTCAGACTATGTTCAGCGACATCTTCGTTCTCTTTCTATCTGGGAGGAGCTACGGTGCGTTTCTGTCACCTAATACATCATAAGTTGATCTCTCAAAAAATACGTCATAAGTTAATGTCTGTTTTTCTGGTGTCATGTTAAATTACACGGAACAATTAAGGCAACAATAAGATCATACATTTCAATATATGACCAATCACAGGCCCCTTGGGCTTTGGTCTTGTGGTGAGAGTGTGACGTGTGTTGTGTGGGTTAGGCGCTGTCACGGGTTCGAACCCTGTCACAAACAAAAGCCTGATATTTATGTGAAGAAGGGTCTAGTAGCTGGAAGTTCTCAAAAAGTATGAAAAGCTGGAGGATTTTGTACCATCATTCCGGTGTGGTTGCATTCTGTTCAACAGCCCAGTGACTTTATTTCTCGTCAAAGTATACTTTCTGGAATTTACCCCTACAAAAATGTTTGAATTTCCAAGCTCTTTCCTTCATATTTTCTTAAGGATATTCAGCTTAAAATTTATTTCAATCATCGCAACTAGCTTTTATTGATTGGATTTAAAATTTAGCTTCCGTAAGTTTCTCCGAACTAATAATTGGGACTTTGAGCTATTAAACCTATCACAATGGTTAAAGGGAGAACTTTGTCCTTTTTCCTAGTAATAACTATGCCTCTACCACAAGGGCGTCTTCATGAATTGTGTGCTGGTAATTATGTGGAACTAAGAGGAGGTTCATATATTCTTCGATTGTATTTCAAAGTTGTTTTTCTTGCTTGAGGTGCGTGAGGTTTCGACTGACATCTCCACCTTCATTTTGCAGTTTCTGGGAAGGATACTTTGATTGTCTACTGGACCGTTATTCTAGCAAGTAAGTGATTTATTTTTCTGTGTTACAGAGAAGTTTATTACACCCTACCTTCTCAAAAAAAGAAGTTTGTTACACCCATATTATCTGAAATATCTCATTTTGGTATATTAACAAGCCTTACCTTGTCTTCCTTTCCAATTACAGTTACTGGGATTGTCAATTTGATTTCTCTAAATGAATTACTGAAGCTAGAATGCGACATGTAGATTACAAAAAATACAGCTTGTCATTAACTGAATTGCAGCTTAGATATCAGCTATGGTTGCATTTTTTTTGGTCTACATTCTTATTATAGTTTGTCAACTTATCTATCATTGCTTTTCATGTATCCAACAATATTGTTAAAAGCTACTAAGCTGAGATAAACGCGTGTGTTAAAGTACATTTTTGTGGTTTCAGCACATAACATGAAACTCATGGAGACATTTTCCAACCCTATGTTTGAGTGGTATAATACTTTTAAAAGGATTAACCCTTGCTTACACACTACTCCCCCACATATAATGCAGTCCCATGGTCTTGGCATCACCGTCCTTAACAAGTCTCTAAGCCTTGTTTGTGCTCCATTTTCAATTATACACAGATTTGACCCAAGAATGGGGAAAATAGAGGAGAAAGATGTATGCATCATATTCATATCTATGTTCTCTTTGTGTCAGGTCAACCAATTATGCTACGTTGGTGACAACACAGCTCATTGTTGTGGCTACTCACATGGTACAGATTATCCTCATTGGAAAGGAGAAAGTTTCACCCGTTTTCTTTGTCACACATCTGTTGCCTTTGGGATGATAATTACTCTTCTGAATATTGGTTTCTCTTCCCTTGTTTTTCTGAAGGCTGGCCTTGGACTTCATGACACTGATGCATGGTACATGATTGAAACAATAGCTGGGAAAAATAACATTGGGTATAAGCACATTGTGAGTTACATTAGACTCCTCCTTATGCCACCAATCCACCTCTCTCCTTTTTGCTGTTACGTTGTAGAGGTGTTTCTGTAGTTTTACCTTGTTAATGTTTGCTATGGCTTGTTAAAATGAAAGGTTGCCTATGATATTTCTATCTGTTCCTTGCTATAGTTGTGTTAATCTATGTCACATGGTTTGCTGTTATCAAATTATACACCTATTATCGCTATATAAAAACATCAAGCTGCTAATAAATCTAGAAATTCCAAGTGAATTGCTGAATGCTCTTTACTATATTGAGTCCCTCATTGCTAACTTTAAAAGGAGAAACCGATAATATACTCCATGCCTCCATTTCCTGTAGTGACCAATCTGCCTTGTTGAAGGCCCATGCCTATTTTGTGGCGTATCTCCTCTCTAAACCATTCTTATATTCGACATATAACCCCTTTCATATTTTGCCGTTCTGTCCTAAATTACTTGTTTGGATCTCTGTGACTACCTATCTGGTGGTGTTTGGACGTAAAACATTATCGTTTTAAATACCAGCCAACTATAAAAAAAAAACAGACAGGCTAGTTAGCTCCCTTTTATCCTGGACATCACATCCAGAATGCAGGAGTCCTGTGACTGGACTGACATAGTTTTTTGTCTTTTCATTTGATTTTAACCTATGAATTATTTGTCTAACTTTTCATTTGATGTTAACCTATAGATTATTTTTCATAGTTAACACTTACTATTAATCACTTGTTGTCACACTGATTATTATGTTATTTTGACGTGCATTATGAGAATCATTGAAGTATGTTTTAGCTGTGGAAGATGATGTGCTCTACTTTATGCTGACCTTCTGGACTACATCATTTTCCATTGTCCATTTACAGCCTTGTAGTCCATATTAGTAAAAATTGGTAGCATTTGCATGCTTTAAACATGTTTATTGCTCAAAGCACTTGACACCGTGTTTAGAACAAGTTAATCTTCGAGGAAAGGAAAAAAAAGGAGAAAAGGAAAGGGTCCTAAAAGATTGAATAATGGACTTCCATGTTGCTTAACTTCCTTTCTTAATTTGTTACTTTTCTAATTTTTTTTGTCAGATAAAACTCCGTGGATATTTGTCACATGTCCGGCATATGTTTGTTGGTTACTGGGGAATCCACTCAGTTAAGTTACAATCCGCAACTACCTTGGGATTGCCGTCCCCACGAGCACAGGATGCATCTGATGATGCTCAACAACCTGCTGAAGCATCTGGTATCGGAAGAAGCTGGGTACAGAGCATGTTCACCAGGGATACATCAATAAGAGCCAAGTCTTTCAGTCGCGTTGGCAAGTGGACCTCTGATAATAGCACTTTAGGCATGTAGTTTTTATTCTGTTTTACCTAATATGTTTCCTCAATGTTGCTTGCTGAGATCTGTTTGTCTACTAATTTCAGATTCAAGCGAGAATGGGACTCCTCGAAAACAAGATCTGTCAGCAGCTGGACAAAAGAAACTGCAAACCAGCATCCGTACTCTAAGGGGTCATAATGGGGCAGTTACCGCTCTACATTGTGTGACGAAAAGAGAAGTGTGGGATTTGGTTGGTGACCGAGAGGATGCCGGTTTCTTTATTAGTGGAAGCACAGACTGTACGGTAAAGATATAATAAGAGTTATTGAGTCTGGATGTTTGCTTATGAGATAACGAATTTCTAGTTTTAGCAAACTCCTAATTTTGTCTTTATGAATATTGGAATGATATGGACCCGATAGAGCAGATACAGTGACACATAGAGCTGATTCCAACTAGTTGGTTTGATAGTGAGCCATAATTAATGTGATGATAATGATCTCCATTCCTTCTGCATAGACCACCCCCCCCCCCCCCCCCCCCCACTCACACACGACGCGTGCGGACACACTGTATATATTCTATTATCAAACCAATTGGTACTACCCTCAAGCTAGAATTACATGCATTTAATGTTCTCATAGCAACATGGGAAAACTAACATTGAAGAGAAACAAGAGTCAATAAATAGATGAGTTACCTGCTGTGTATGACATGATTATCTTCTAGAGATAGAGAGCAGCAGTAGCATATTCAAGTGTTTGTGATCTTGTTCTGGCCGTCTTAGTTATTGCTCTGGCAAAATTTTGCAGGTTAAGATCTGGGATCCTAGCCTTCGTGGTGCTGAACTTAGGGCTACTCTGAAAGGGCACACAAGGTAAATCATATGCACTTTCTTCTTCTCATTGCTGGTAATTAGCTTATTGTTTTCAACTGACATATAAGTGGCATCATCTCTTTCATTTTCCACCATTTTAAGTTAAATGTATTATCCTCCTGCTTTCTATAATTTTTCATCTGTCTTCTTTCTAGGACTGTAAGGGCAATAAGTTCTGACCGAGGGAAGGTCGTATCAGGATCCGATGATCATTCTATTCTTGTATGGGATAAACAAACAACTCAACTACTTGAAGAGTTGAAGGGCCACAATGCACAGGTTCATTCAATCTCTTCATGTTGGATTTACTCTTATCCATTTGTTCGATATCCAATAGAGAATGTCTCTTTGATGTGGCAGTTTGTTTGCTTACCTTTTGGCAAGTTGTTTTATTTTGGTGGACTTAAACGCAATGAGCAAGTGCAGAATGTAGTATATAATTTAAATATTAAGGAAGAGTAAGCAGGAACCTAAGTTGTTTGATGGGCTTTGATTTTTCATTTCACTTTCTAACAACAATTTTTACTTATTTCTTCTTAAGCAGCTCATTAAGATGTCCACTTACATTTATTATCCCAGCGTACAATGTGTAGATGTAACGTAATATAACCCTTCTGGTGATCTCATCATTGTGCCAAATCTCTTCTTGTAGGTCAGCTATGTGCGCATGCTTTCAGGTGAACGAGTCCTTACAGCTGCCCATGATGGGACTGTAAAGATGTGGGATGTAAGAACAGATACTTGTGTTGCTACGGTAGGCCGCTGCTCCGGCGCTGTTCTTTGCATGGAGTATGACGACTCTACGGGAGTCTTAGCTGCTGCAGGCAGAGATGCGTATGTCACTTCTATCAGCTGTATTTTAAACGAGCTGTTCATTATGCTCATCTGAGACATCATGTAAAAACTGCATTTTGTAACTAAAAATGTTATACTTAGGGGTCATTAGTTTTGAGGGATAAGGAAACTAATCTACGTATAAAATTCTGCACCTGGTAAAGAACTCTGTATTACTATAGTAATCTCCACAGGACTAACATAGTGTTTTATTTCTTGTATTCAAAATTTATATGGAGTTCAAATTGAGAATCAAACGAGCATTACTAATACTGTAATAACTTATGGAATCTGTGTATTACTTTTATATATTATAGAATGTGGAATAAGGATATGTGTATTAGCAATACGTGGATAGGAGCATCTAGAAAGAAGGATTAAAGTAGGACTTGAATTTATCATTATTCACCACATGGCAATCCATGCAACATTATTCTCCACATAACAATCCCTACATTATAATCCTTGCATAACTAATCCGTGAATCAAATGACCCGTTATTGTATTAGCACAAGCCTGACTGCAGTGTATTTCCGTTTAAAGGGTTGCGAACATTTGGGACGTTCGTGCTGGGAGGCAAATGCACAAGCTTATGGGACATACGAAATGGATAAGGTCAGAGAAGGTTAAGAGTTTTTATCTTTTTCCTTTTATGCCACGTCTCTATGATGATTAATTGAACGTGTAGTTTGAAACAGATCAATTAGAATGGTGGGAGACACGGTGATTACAGGTAGTGATGATTGGACGGCACGAATCTGGTCTGTTTCTAGAGGACAATGTGATGCAGTGCTAGCTTGCCATGCTGGTCCAATTCTATGTGTGGAGTATTCTTCATCAGATAAAGGGATAATAACAGGTCATGACCAGTAAATAAAGCAGTATTCTGTTTGTGAATTTCCTTTTATTGTTTCTCAGGGTATTATTATTTTTCATCAGTGTTGTTGATTGTAAAATCTTGAATAGTACGTCCTAAAGCGTGGCAAAAATATTCTCAGGTTCAAGCGATGGTCTCCTGCGGTTCTGGGAAAATGATGATGGTAAGTTGATTGTCTAATTCCTCTGCATGATTCACTCTATCCCTGGCTTAATGTACAATTGGCGATTTGCAGTGTCCCGTAACAGGGAAAATGTTGCATTGCGTGTGAATCCATCCATTGTAGTTTATTTCGTCATAGTGACTCTATTTTTCCCTTCTTCCTAAATACTTGTAAAAAACATCTGACTCCCTGATGGCTTTTGGAAAATCAAATTGTTCAGACAGATCGCCCATCACTTTTTGCATTGTGAGTTACGCGTTAGCTGGTTTATTCGTTGTTCTGTACTTCTGTATTAGATGCTAATATGTTGTAAGTGATTAATGGCATGTCTCTTTCAAATGTGAGATTTTTCCACTGTAATTTTAATGATAGTACAACTGGACCTGGCCTTTTCTTTTCTTTATTATCAAAAGAACCGAAACTCTCTGTCCAATTTGATTTATGGAAGTGTTCAAACTTATTGTAACAACAACAACAAGATACCCAGTATAATCCCACAGGTTGGGTCTGGGGAGGATAGTGTGTACGCAAACCTTACCCCTACTTGGAGAGATAGAGAGGTTGTTTCCGATGGACCCTCGGCTCAAGAAAAGGTGGAAAGGAAGAGAAGGCAAGAAGAAGAAGAAGAAGAAAGAGGGGGAAGAAAGAAAGAAAGGGAGACAAAAGACGATAAGAAAATAGAGGAAAGTAGCATCAAATAGTAACAATCAGTGGGCAACAATTTCCAGTAGCAATATTCAAAAACAATGGACGTGGTTACTAAGTACCAGATATAATAACAAACTAGAAGAAAGTATCTTTCAACCAACAACAAGAATATTACTAGTACTATTGGTAAACCTAGGAGAAACTCACAACTGTCTGTCAACCCACCACCTTAATCCTCGACCTCCATGCCTTCCTATCGCTAGTCATGTCCTCGATTAGGTGAAGCACCGACATGTCCTGCCTAATCACCTCTCCCCAATACTTTGGCCTGCCCCTGCCCTTCCTCAAGCCCGCCATGGTAAACCTCTCACACCTCCTGACCGGGGAATCTATGTCTCTCCTCCTCACATGCCCGAAACCATTGCAGCCTCGATTCCCGCAACTTGGCTTCCACGGATGCCACTCCCACCTTATCCCTAATAACTTCATTCCTAATCTTGTCTTTTCTGGTATGTCCATATATCCATCTCAACATCCTCATTTCAGCTACAATCATCTTCTGGACAGGGGACTTCTTGACGGGCCAACACTCAGCTCCATAAAACATAGACGGTCTAACCACCATCTGTAGAATCTGCCCTTAAGTCTAGGCGACACATTCTTATCGCATAAAACCCCCGAAGCTAGCCTCCATCTCATCCAACCCGCTCCAATGCGGTGAGTAACATCCTCGTCAATCTCCCCGTTGCCTTGGATTATAGACCCAAGATACTTGAAACTATCTCTTTTGGGAATGACTTGAGTATCAATCTTTACTTCCACTTCTTCTTCATGCCTCTCATCACTGAACTTGCACTTCAAGTATTCAGTTTTCGATCTACTCAACTTGAAACCTTTGGACTCCAGCGTCTGTCTCCAAACTTCCAACCTAGCATTAACACCCCCTTGCGTCTCGTCAATCAGTACTATGTCATCAGCAAATAATACACCATGGCACCCTCCCTTGTATGTGTCGTGTCAGCACATCCAACGCTAGGGCAAACAAAAATGGGCTAAGGGCTGATCCCAGATACAACCCCATCTCCACAGGGAAATGTTCCGAGTCTCCTCCCGCAGTCCTTTCCCGAGTCTTAGCACCTTCGTACATGTCCTTAATCACCCTAATATATGCTACCGGTACTCCGCTAACCTCCAAACATCTCCATAGCACTTCCCTTGGGACTTTGTCATAAGCCTTCTCAAGGTCAATGAACACCATGTGCAACTATAAAGAATTTGAATTCATAAAATAATTCTTAATCAACCCATGCTAAATTTTTTCTTATCAGAACAACAAAAGCCTATCATCAATTTAATGTTGTCTTGTCATGCCACAAGTTTGATATTTCGATGTACCCAGAGCTCCCCGAGAACTCTTGCTCCATGAATTGGAACTGATGGTGAAGTGTCATGGTTAACACATCAGATTTTACATGTCCCTTTGAGCAACCTGACCTTAGAGTCCTCTGTACAGGGATGGGGTTTTACTTCTTTTCTGGATGCCATTGTTAATATTGATTGTCAGATGTGCTATTAGTTTTAGAATTTGTCAAGTAACACAATCACACATTATTTTATGAACAATATGCTTCTTGCTTTGCTGGAAAGTTGATGTTTGGTGTGATTGTTGATAAGGGTTGACATTAGTGAACTTTCTTCTTGTCCACAGGGATGAGTGGACGATGAACTGGTTGATTGACTAACTAAAGCTTTTTATTTTGTATGTAGGTGGCATAAAGTGCATTAAGAATGTCACTATCCATACTGCTTCAATATTGTCCATTGATGCCGGGGAACACTGGTTAGGAGTAGGGGCAGCCGATAATTCAATGTCCCTCTTTCACCGTCCTCAAGAGAGACTAGGTGGCTTCTCTAGTGCTGGTTCAAAGATTGCTGGATGGCAGCTCTACAGAACACCTCAGAAAACAGCTGCAATGGTATGTTTTTTGTACCAATCCTGAACCTTTTTATGTCACCAACACATCAATAAATTTGTGTGTGTTTTTGCATCAGTAAGTCCCTTCTATAAGAGAGAACGGGGTTCAGGTTTTTTGCACTATTAAGCCTTACTAGGAAAGCAAGAGTCCAATTCTTGACTTTTCACCCACAATAGCTTCTAGCTAGTGATATTAATCACCAGCTAAGCATGATGTTCTTCTTTTTCTTTTGATCCATGTAATCTCGTATGCCCTTCATGTAGATTGCCGGGACTTGTAATCCTAGACTTGTTTAGATACTCTTTCTATGAAAGAAGGGTACTTGGGGTTTGTTGCATGGTGATCTTTGAAAATGAATATGATCGCTGTGGTAGCAAAGACATGAAATGCGATGGGAATGAACAAGTTACAGAGCTTTTGAACAGCTGAACTTTCGCACATGATAGAATGATACTTGGGGGTGGTTGCATTGTGATCATTGAAAATGAATAGGAGCAAATAGTACAGATGATTAATTTCTTTGGTGTAAATGAGAATTACAGTAACATGTATGTTTGCTGTGGTGACCTCTGAAATGCGATGAGAAAAACAATTTAGAAACATTTTGAACAACTAAACTTTGCACCCATCTTCTTTGGCCAAGTAATCTCAAGAATATTGATAATTTCACTTTCTTCATCAGTTCAACATATGTACTCAAGTCTCAATGTATGATTACTTATGCTCGTGAAATATTAGATTGATCAGTAGTTCAGTACCCTGTACGTATTCACTTTATCATATGGCACTATGTAAGCTTCACTTTGACCTGTGATCACTCTTGCTCTATTACATGCAGATATATCTTTAACCCAACTGGTTCTATAATGATTTCTTCATTGCACCCTGCTCTTTCTCTTATGCTGCATTTGGGNNGGATGGGTCTTCTTTCCTCAACTCTATCAATCGTTTCCTTCATAGTGTATGGTACAACTTGTAAGGACATACATCTGATTCCTTTTCTTCTTCTCTTATGAAAGAGAAGATGCAGGATACAAAATACAGGTCTGGTGGCTTAGTAAAGTACTAGACCTGTATTTGTATCCTGCATCTTCTCTTTCATAAGGCTTCAATTGATTTTGAAAGAGGTCAGATGGGGGTCTCCATGGAGAAGGGTGCTTCTTTGTCTAGTAAAATTTCTCATCGATATGTTAGGAAAAAGAAGGTTACGGGCTTGTGTTTTGCCAAAATCATTTTGGCTTCCATCATGCGCCTTGTTTGCACAGTTGACCAAATCTAGCCTTGCCCTGTCAGAAATGACAACTTCAGTCTCCACTATTCCAGTTTTCCTGTTAGTTTTCTTTTTAAAAAAATATTTCTTGCCTTGCCCTGCTTCTTTGCAAAAGATTAGCTGCAGTATTAAATAATGTAACATTTTCTCCAAGTTCTGATCCCATCATCTTTTATCTTCAGGTACGATGTGTGGCCTCTGACCTTGAAAGGAAAAGGATTTGTAGTGGTGGACGCAATGGGTTGCTTCGACTGTGGGATGCTACGATAAACATCTAGGTTTTTATAATTGTACTTGCCTTGACGGTTTCAGTGGATGATCAAGAAGGCTTGTGGTTGGGCTGGTGACCTCCGTCTCACGTGGTAAGGATGACTGTCGCATTTGCTAGAGGATTAAATGTACAAGTTTGCTCTATTTTGTTCAGCTAGCCACTAAATACATGCATTGCCCATGTATCTTGTATTAATTGTTACAAGCTCGTATATTCTTGAACGTTTGTCTAAGTTATAAAATCTGTTTCAGAGATGTTTCTTTAAAAAATCTTAGCTCGATCAATTTATAGGGGCATCTTTATAAGTTTTTACAAAGAACTATTTCTGTGATTTTTTATGGAATTAAAGCCGAGCATCTTTCTTTTGCTTTGTCCTATAACATTAAACTATTTTTTTGTAAACTACCAAAAGAATATATAATATAATGAAGAAATGAACCATCATGGCTTTGGAGCCACAGGTGGTGTGGAGAAGTTAGTTCATTGGACGTACGGATCAGGAGGCTTCTCTCTAAGGTGGAAAGCTCCAATGTGAACTCTTACATCCGATGGTGTTGGCAGCTTGCTTAGTCCCGTTTATCTTAGATGCAAGATTGTTAAACCACTAAAGTATTAGGGTGAACCAATATGATCCGGCATTTTAGGTATCTGCAGTGGGATGGAGGTCATTGCCCTGAGTTGGTAACTTTTGGTCATAGGGTGTCGCCTGATACTGGGGAACGTGTTCCTTTTTCCATTACAGAATAAACAGGAATTGATCTGACAGTAGTTATGTAAAATGATCTCTTTCCATCTTTCACCACAATGTTTGGCGGGTGTGTCACCCCCTCGGTTGAGAGTTATAGTGAATTATAAACAATGGTATTACTCCCACCGTTTCAATTTATGTGAACCTATTTCCTTTTTAGTGTGTGCCAAAAAGAATGACCCCTTTCCATACTTGGAAACAATTTACCTTATAGCCATACAAATATATGTGCCTCATTTTACACAAGTTCAAAAGTCTTCTCTTTTTTCTTGAACTCCGTGCCCAAAGGTTCACATAAATTGAAACAGAGGGAGTATTAGTTACCACAAGACAATTCCTATGAGGAAAGAGATCAAAATTATCCTCATGAGTGGATTTAGTATCATGTATAAGGTAAAGTTTACCTGTGGAATGTGAACCTAATTAAAGTACTTAGTTAAAACTAGCATTGCTACCATTATCAAACCTCAATAAGGGAATTAATGGTGCCATCTGATGAGCCATGAAAGTTCCTTTGCAATCAAATTAGTTCATCAGTATGAAAATACTAGAAACATTTGAACATTTAGCAGTGTTGGTTACTTTTTCCTCTTTCCCATTGGAGTATTACAAATTATAGAGGAACACAGCAACATACAAACAAAGATCTAAAAAGTAAAAAAGGCAGAGAACAAAATTTAGAGAGAAGCACTATATAAATACTTAGTTTCTGGCAAATTAATCATCCCATCATGGTTTGGTGAATTGGAGGGATCATAGTAGCTTGCTGCAGCTGCATGTTCTGTTTCAAAGCCTGATTTCCTTGCCATCCTGGCAATGAAGAACAATCTGTATTATTTTGAACTACGGCAACTATAATAGCGAAAACCACAAAAAGGAGGGCTATGTTCATCATTTCATAGATAAGGACCATAATACAATTGACCTATGAACTTAATACTTATGGTGAGAAAAAAGGAATAAAATAAGGTTGATAGTAGAAGTACCAATTGAAGGGTCAAGTCCTCTTAGGTGAAGCTCTCGATATTCTTGACAGAGAGCACAGCATTCACAAAAGCAGTGGATTACCCAATCGGGTGCCGATGATTCAATTAGCCCATACTGGCTCCTCAACTTTGTACGATAGGTGCATGACATTATGCAAGGCATTAGGACGAAGAATATCGCCCCATAGATCAAGCCACTAGTGGTACAAGCTATAGTACACAAAAGGATATATATATATATATATATATATATATATATATATATATATATATATATATATATATATAGAGAGAGAGAGAGAGAGAGAGAGAGAGAGAGAGAGTTAAATAAAAGATTTTTCTGAAAGTAAAGAAGATTCAGAAAGGACACAACTGCTATGAAGTGTAATCATTTTCATTTGTTTTCTTATCTATGTATCACTTACTAGTTTGTCCAGAGTCTACAATCTCCGCAATCTGTCCGAATGTCAGGCAGGGGAAGCATGCTGTGATGAGAGCTGAAAGTTTGCACTAGCTAGTAAATCACTTGGAAACTTTTACTTGTGTAAGCAAATAGAACGACTCCTTTATCTGTGTGTGCATAAGTGCATGAGATAAGGAGATTGAAAATTGTTTACCATTTGTGGGGTCTTCCATGCAACCAAACAATCCAGTCTTCCAAGATTCAGTTAGAAGAAGTTGCTTTGTAGGGATTCCCGTCATGAAAGTCTGTGGCATGGGAGATGCCAGTGGCGTCCCTTGTGGGCCTGCACCAAACCGTTGGCCACATGGAGAAACTGCCCTTTGGGTTGTGGGAAATTAGTACCTGCTTGCACATTATGATTCTGAGGTACAAAGGATTGTGGTTCATCCTGAGGAGGAAAGAATTTGGGATCAAATTGAGGTGGTGGAAAGGCATGTGCTTTAATAGGAGTTGGAGAAAAATCTTCCTTCTCTAACTGAGTAGGAGGGAATCCATGTGGTTCATAAGAGTCCTGAGCAGGAGGAAAGGCCTGTGGCACAGATTGAGCACGAGGTTGAGGAAAGGCATGTGTAGGAGTTGAAGGAAATGCTTGCCCTTCTTCCTGTGTAGGAGGAAAGACGTGGGGCTCGTAATAATCTTGAGCAGGTGGGAAGGCATATGGCAAGGGTTGAGACTGAGGTGGTGGAAAGGCTTCTGCTTGAGGTTGAGAATCATGAACCGGGGAGCTGTTGTGTTGGCTAGGTTGTAGTGACTGTAGAGCCCCTGATTGGGGCTGAGGCTGCTTCCTAGGCCTCTGAGTCTTTCCATTTTGCTGAGAGAGCTGTGTGGTCACGAGCCTGCTTGTTTGCTGCTTGGATGATGAGGGAGGTGCTTGCAGTACGGATTGTTGTTGTTGTTGTACTGAATCTTGTTGCGTTGTCAGTTCTTGTGATGCAAATGTTGATGGTTCATTTTGACTTTCTTCTGGATAAAGATCTTCATGGAAAAGCTCAGTCGATGGTGGAGGTATTTCTTCAATGGTCTCTGCTTGTTGATGATAAAAACTTTCTACTACTTGAGAAGTGTATTCTTGATGAGTTTGCAGCTGGTGCCGATCATTTTTGGGTTGAACTTGGAACTGATGAATGGTGTTTGCACCTATACGTCCCATCTCTTCTTCACTCTTTCTTTGTGGAATGAAAGAAGAGAGTACTAGTGATTTAGATGATCTGAGTTTTGATAGAAGACTAACTATTAATATAAGCAAAGACTTGGGTTAACGGCACAATTCAAAAAGAAAAAAGTATTAGTTTATGCATGAATATATATTCCTATTATCTTTTTTGATGATATTTGGGTTGCTAATGCTAATTCACAACTGACAAGTAGACTGAAATAATAATTCTGGGTATGATCTTAGATTCTTATTTATTAAAATTAAAAAGATTATGGGAGAAGCATGTGGAATTCCCCCTAGTAGGCGTCTTGTTTAATTTTGGTAAATTCGGCTGGTAAGGGCCATGTTAATTCCACGTTCCTATATAGTTGATTGGTTTCAACTATTTTATGAATGTATGGAGATTGTGAGAAGATTCTTTCGGTAAGAAGGCTCAATTTATTAATTTGCAAATTTTAAGCTAATTATTTAATTTTAATTGCTAATAATTCTAACTTATGCTCTTAACCAATGTGAGCATGTTTTTACCAAGTCAATTACAAGTCTATATTATTTTTATTCTTATGATGCAGATTGCAGTGAGCAATGGAACTTCCAAGTTTCATTGAAGATCGAGGAACGTAGTGTCGGACAATATAATTATGTCATCCAGAAAAAGTCTTCTCTCTGCTAGTTGAACTGTGTCCTGTAGACTTCCTTTTCCACTCATTTGCTCTTTGATCGTGATACTATTACTTAGGTTCCTATATTTTGAATGGATGGTGGAGCGTAGGTAAAACAACAAACAACAAGTCCAGTGAAATTTTACATGCGGGGTTTCGGGAGGGTAATGTGTACGCAGACCTTATCCCTACCTTATGAAAGAGGTGATGTTGTTTCATAGATCATTGGCTCATGAACAGTGAAAATGACACAATAAACAAACAATAATAGTAAGCTATAAGGGAAGTGCGTAAACTACCGGTAATAATGACACATCGTCTGACAACAAGGAACTAGGAATAGGAGAATACAAGATTAGTACTAGTACGACTAGAAGAGGCTCTCCACTACTTATCAACCCACGACCTTCATTCCCGATTGTCTTAGGTTGAACAACCCACGAACTTGCATTTGTAGATTGCAATTTATAAGTCACATTTGTTGACCGCTATCTTATACATTGCATTAGAGGTTTCCGATTATACGTGCGTAACGGAAAGGGCATTTCTTCATCAATCTATATATGATCGTTGTGGTAGCAAAGACATGACATGCGATGGGAATGAACAAGTTGCTGAGCTTTTGAACAGCTGAACTTTTGCACATGAAAGAATGATACTTGGGGTTTGTTGCATTGTAATCTTTGAAAATGAATAGGAGCAAATAATACAGATGATTAACTTCTTTGGTGTAAATGAGAATTATAGTGACTTGTATGTTCACTGTGGTGATCTCTGAAATGCGATGTATGTCTGAATCAAAACAAATGCGACTTGTGGGAAGAGAGGAACCAAAGGACCTTTTTAGGTAAACAAAGAATTATTGTAGGCCTCGGTAAATTGACAATGCAAGACATACATGGTAGAGGACAATGGAATATTTAATAATTTTTGAGGCACACATATTTTTTTTGCTTGATATACACATATAATCACCGCATATAAAGTCTATTTACTTTCTTAATCCAAAAAAGTTTATTTAGTGTTCTGTAATTAAACTTCATTTACAATAAGAAGTATCTATTATATAATTATACTTGTGTAATAAAATATGACACTGAAAATTATATTGTAATTACGTAATAATAAATAAATATATCCTTATAATTACTATACTACGTAATTATTGCATTATGTGTGATTTCCAATCCTAACATATAATTGTTTTATTTGGCTAAAGATAATGATATTTTAATCAAGTTATTTTTACATATTTGGTCAGGAAAAGAAGGATACACATCTAGAACATATTGTTCACTGCATCTAAAAAATAAAATGCGTTATTGAAACTCCATATATTGGCTAAATAAATATTTTAGCTAAAAATAGTAAAATTCCGACTAAATATTTGCAAATTTGACTCCAAAAAAAATGCATCATTTAAATAAATAGTCATTGCAACTAAATAAAATACACAATAAAATAAAAATAAAATACACAATTTTTCTTGTAGAAAAAGTACCATTTGAACTTCATTAATTTGGCCAAATCTTCTTTTTATTTGGCTAAAATAAATGGATTTTCAACTAAATTTTGTAGACTTGGGCCGAAAAAAGGATAAAAGATACATAGTTGGATATTTTACTCATTGTTATTAAAAAAAAATACAATTAGGATAAAATATGCAATGCATATTAAGAAAAAACAACGAGAAATATAATTGGAACAAATAAATCATTATATTTGATTATGTGGCAATTAATATCTGAAAATACCCCACTTGAAAGCTGATTTTTCTTCCCTCCCACGCGCCTAAACGAGAGTGTATTCACGCTCTTTGCCATATCAGCGCCTAGGGAGGTGAAGACTATCAAATATTTAAGTTCAGGTGGGTATTAAAGACCATGTGAAGTTTAAGGAGGAACTAAACAAAAGTTGTCAAATTTAAGGTGTTCCCGAACATTTCTGCCGTAACTAATATTTAATAATTTTTAGGTCCTTGTTGCATTCACTGTTTTTGTAAGGACACTTTTAATCTCCCTGTTGGACACTTCAACTTGCCCGCTCGACTGTGGGTGGTACGGGGTGGTCACTTTATGACGAACCCATACTTTTCCAACAGTCGTGCGAACGCTCTATTGCAGAAATGGGTTCCGCCATCACTGAGTATAGCTCTCGGGGTGCCAAAACGTGTGAAAATGTTCTTTTTTAGAAAGCATGTTACCCCTTTAGCATCATTGGTTGGGAGAGACACTGCTTCGACCCACTTGGAGACGTAGTCAACTGCTACCAATATGTACTTGTTGCCATACGAGCTGACAAACGGCCCCATGAAGTCGATCCCCCACATGTCAAAAACCTCCACCTCTTGAATTGTGGTCATTGGCATCTCGTGTCGGCGAGATATGTTGTCTGTCCTTTGGCATTCATCGCAACTTTTGACCCAAGCATGGGCATCCTTGAACAGAGTTGGCCAATACAAGCCCGACTCCAACACCTTAGCTGCTATCCGAATTCCTCCAAAGTGTCCACCATATGGTGAAGCGTAACAAGACTGCAAAACAGAATGTTGATCTTTCTCGGGGATGCACCGCCGGATCATGTTATCTACACATATTTTAAACAATAGAGGTTCATCCCAATAATAAGGCCGACAATCACGAAAGAACTTTTTCTTTTGAATTGAGGAGAGTTCATAAGGTACAATACCACTTGCTAAATAATTAGCAATATCAGCATACCACGGTGCCTCCTCCATTGTCATTGCTAGTAACTATTCATCCGGGAATGTCTCTGTTATATCCTCAACCTCTACCTTCTTTTCAGCTCCTTCCAACCTTGAGAGCTGGTCAGCTACTTGGTTCTCTGTCCCTTTTCTGTCACGGATCTCCAGATCGAATTCTTGTAACAAAAGAACCCACCGAATCAAGCGTGGCTTTGACTCCTTCTTTTCTATCAGGTACCTAATTGCTGCATGGTTAGTATAAACAATAACTTTCGAGCCAATCAAGTATGACCTGAATTTGTCGAATGCAAAAACGACAGCCAACATCTCCTTTTCCGTCACGGTGTAATTGAGTTGTGCACCGCTTAGCGTTCTGCTTGCCTAGTAAATCGGGTGCATCAGTTTATCCTTTCGCTGCCCCAAGACTGCTCCTATAGCATAGTCACTTGCGTCGCACATGAGCTCGAACGGTTGCTCCTAGTTGGGTGCAACAATAATGGGTGCAGTCACCAATCTCTTCTTCAGCTCCTCAAATGCCAACCTGCAATCATTAGAAAACACAAAGGGGTGATCCTTTTCAAGGAGTTTGCATAAAGGGTTAGCAATCTTAGAGAAATCTTTTATGAATCGCATGTAGAGCCCGGTGTGCCCAAGGAAACTTCTCACTACCTTGACTGAAGTAGGCGGTGGCAACTTCTCAATTACGTCAACCTTAGCATGGTCAACCTCGATTCCCTTACTGGACACTCGATTCCCCAAGACTATCCCTTCTTGTACCATAAAATGGCACTTTTCCCAGTTCAGCACTAAATTTGTCTCCACACATCTTCTGAGCACTCTTCTTAAGTTGTGAAGACAGTCCTCGAATGAATCCCCCACCACGGAGAAATCATCCATAAATACCTCCATAATATCCTCCACCATGTCCGTGAAATGGCTAACATGCACCGTTGAAATGTCGTCGGTGCATTGCAAAGCCCAAGAGGCATTCTCCGAAAGGCCAAAATGCCATACGGACAGGTGAATGATGTTTTCTCTCTGTCTTCGGGGGCTATTGAGATCTGATTGTACCCCGAATATCCATCCAAGAAACAGAAGTGAGATCGCCCAGCCAACCTGTCCAGCATTTGGTCAATGAATGGCAGGGGAAAATGGTCCTTTCGAGTGGCTGTGTTCAATTTCCGGTAATCTATGCAAATCCACCATCCCGTGACTGTACAAGTTGAGATCAACTCGTTATTCTCATTTTGTACAACCGTCATTCCTCCCTTTTTCGGCACACACTGAACAGGGCTGACCCAATTGTTGTTTGAGATGGGGAAGATGATACCCGCATCTAACCATTTGATCACTTCCTTCTTCACCACCTCTTTCATATTTGGGTTCAGCCTTCGTTGATGTTCTCTGGAAGGTTTGTGCCCTTCTTCCAAGAGAATCTTGTGCATACAAAAAGCGGTGATGATACCCTTTATGTCTGCCATGGTTCAACCAATGGCAGTCTTACATTCCTGTAGCACCTGTAAGAGTTGCTCTACCTGCACATCTAGCAAACCGGATGATATAATAACAGGCAAAGTAGAATTTGGCCCTAAGAAAACGTACTTGAGGTGAGCTGGGAGCGGTTTCAGCTCCAGTTTGGGTGGTTCCTCTACTGATGGTTTTGCCGGTGGTGTAGCCCTCTTTTCTAACTCAAGGGACTCGAACTGAGGTTCCCTCTTCCAGAATCCTTGGACTTCGAGTGCCATGACCCACTCTGCCAACCCTTCACCATCCATCTCCTCTAAATTTGTCAAGCAAGCCCCCAATGGATCTTTAGCAGTGAGGGTCTCATCATATTCGTGCAGGATCACATCCACTGCCTCCACTAGGGAGCAATTAGCATATTCACTGGGTCTCCTCATGGATTGTTGTACATTGAATATGACTTCTTCATCGTTCAACCTCATTTTTAATTGTCCAGTTTCACAATCGATCAGTGCTCTCCCAGTGGCTAAGAATGGCCTCCCTAAAATGATAGGTATCTCTTCATCTACCTGGCATTTCAGAATAAAAAAGTCTGCAGGGAATACAAACTTCCCCACTTGTACAACACATCATCAAGAATCCCTGTCGGCCTTTTAACCGTGCGGTCAGCCAGTTGCAAAAGCATCAAAGTCGGTCTAGCTCTGCCAATGCCCAGTTTGGTATATATAGCCAGCGGCATCAAGTTTATGCTGGCTCCTAAGTCACATAATGCCTTTGCAAAGGCATAACTCCCAATAGTGCATGGAATAGTAAAGCTACCTGGGTCAGACATCTTTTGAGCCATGGGTCTTGTCACTACTGCACTACAGGTCTGTGTCAGAGTTACTGTGGATAGGTCCTGAAAATCAAACTTTCGTGACATTAGGTCCTTCATCATCTTTGCATAGCCTGGCATCTCCCTCAAAGCATCCATCAGAGGAATATTCAATTGAATTTGACGTAGCATCTCCATGAATTTCCTGTATTGATCTTCCTTCTTTTGTTTTGCCAGT